AAAAAAAAAAATTGCTGTAACTTGTCAACACATTAATTAATCTGAAAAATACAATAATATAACACTTAATTAACTTTAATTTTTAATATTTCTTATTATTTATAAATTTGTTTAGTAGATTTTAATAAAACTTACCAAATTGTTGTCAATAAATTAAAGTGAACTGATACGTTAGCGTTTATTGTTTGACAAAAAGTTGATGTCTAACTGTAGGTTTCTTAGTTGTATTCAATCACAGAATGCCAAAAAAAAAAAATGTAAGTTAATTTTATAGTTGCAGTCGATAGGTTTTTTGTTTATTTTATTTAGTTTTTTAATCACAAACAGATTTGAGCAATTTCAAATTTTAATCTTAATAATCAACACTGTTAGAGCGAAAAAAAAAATGACTTGCCAGTTAATTTTAATTAGGAGAAGCCCAGTTTTATTTTTTTTTATTACTTAGCAAAGCAAGTGTGAACAGTTTCTGTTTTTGCTGTTCAGTAAAGATTCTAATCTGACAAGATAATACTAATGAAATGCGGCATTCTAAAGACAAACGAAAAATATTTAGACGAAAGAAAGAAAAAAAAAAAAATTTGACGCAGATATTATCAGGTAAAATTGTGTAATAATGCCAAAATACCGTCTGACCATTTGTGCAAAGAGCGGCCCAATCTGTATGCCAGGAAATTCTGTTACATTTTTTTTTTTTGCTTTGTTGTTGTTGTTGTTTTTTTTTTTTCGTTTCAGCTATTCCAAATCATTCTTTAACAGACTTATCTGATGTTTTTTGTTCGCTTTTGACTGCTCGAGAATAAATGATGTTGATTAATTAGAATGCCAATTATGGAGGAAGTAAGCTGTATTGCTGTTTCAAAACCGATGACGTACAAAGAAATAACAAATTTGAATCTGCTGCTTAATCAAACCAAATAGCATTGCATTCAGTGTTTCAGTTAAATTGTTAAGAAACGTCAAAGAAAGAAAGGAAGAAGAAAAAAACAGAAACAAAAAGCAATTGCGTGCTGTAAAACTGTTTCTAATTTGGAGTTGCAAAATAACTATTTTGACAGGCTTTGTAATTCTATGCACTAAAAATAACCTCTTTGTTTTGTTTTTGATTAAAATTAAGTAGATAATCAAAAA